GTAAAGAAAGATACTAAAGATGCCAAATGCATGTTATTTTGCAGTGCTTACAAAATATTCATCAAGACGGGCCACATGTTGGGCTATTAAAATGTCACAAATTTAAAGCACTGAAGTCATAGAGAATATTTGTGCTAGATAGAAATTAAAATTGTGCTAGATATCCATAATACAAAAGATATCTAGAAAATCCCCAAAGATTTTGAAATGAAGCCCCACACTACAAAATAACCCCTGGCCAAACAGGAAACCACAGGGACTATTAGGAAATACTTATGACTGAATAACAGTAACAAAATGATGGGGATGCAGCTAGGACAGTAAAGAAAATGAAACCGATAGTTTTAACAGCTTATGTTAGAGAAAAGCCCCTTTATATGCAAAAATGAGAATAGAAATAAAACATTTTGGTATGGAATTTTATTTTACAGCAAATTTTTCTTGGAATATGTCTCCGAATTAGGGGATATTTGTACAACAAATCCTAAATAAATAACAAGGTACCAAACCAAAATAAATAACAAGGTACCAACTGACGAGAACACTAGAGGGCACTAATATCTCACTTCCAGAGGAAAAGCATTTAGTGTGGAAACTTCAGAAATATTAGCTGTGGCACAGAACCAAGGTAGCAGAGACTTTATCCATTTTGCAAATGAGATGATTGAAGTCCAGAGGGAGCAAATGACTTGCTGAGTGTTACAGAAAGACTAGTCATAGTCAGAACTATAATTCAGTCTCCTGACTCTAACACATGTTTTTTTGCAGATTCACTGACTGACTTTGCTATGCACTTAGGGCCAATGACCCTCTTATCCAGTGGGGTTGCCCAGCTATTGTGATGAACAACTGGAGTTGCTAGAGCTGTTGAGGGGTTGGAAGACACAGGATCAGGAAGAATGTTCCATGGATGTTCCAAAGATGGAGAGTCAAGGACTTGGCATTTGGGCTACAATAACTTATACTTGCAGCTAGTGCCACCTTTTGGACATTTTGGTTATGCAAGCAGATAGATTTCTTTTGTATTTAAAATGGGTTGGTATGGGAGTTTTCTGTCATTTGTATCCAAGTGTCCTGAATTTGCCAGGTATCTCTAATCTCTCTTCATCAGAAGGTTAATAGTATTCAAAACACATTTTGGACTAAATCAATTTTATTTTTTTTAGGAAACTCATCAGGACCAGGTTTGAGAGGTCATGTGACTAAAAAAAAAAAAAAAAAAAAAAAAAACCACACACATAAGAAGCTTTTCAAGTTTCATGTTTGCTTCCAGATATCTTAAGTTCTCAAATTATCAGTATAATTGATTTTCTCTATCTCTCTTGCATGGTTGGAAGGGTAAATTATTTTAAAGAAAACTGTTAAGACAATGCTATGTTGGGGGACTGATGTTATAGCTCAGCGGTAGAGTGCTCACCTAACACGTGTGAGGCCCTGGGTTCGATCCTCGGCACCACATAAAAATAAATAAATAAAATAAAGGTATTGTGTCCAACTACAACTAAAAGGTAAATATTAAAAAAAAAAGTTCTGTTGATAGAAAGTTGATGCAGGTTGTGTCATCATTAATACCAGTGTCCTCTGACTCTTAGAGGTAAAAATAAGCTTGCCTGAGATAGTCTATGTACTTGACTTTGACGTGGTCACTCATTCCCTCCTCATTGCAACTCTGCACGGTATTCTCAGACCTTTTACAGATGAAATGGAGACAGAGGTTAGTTCTGTAAATTGTATGAACTCACACAGCTACTACATGAAAATATTAGGATTTGAACTACATTTTGGTTCTCTATTCTTACTTACTTGCCAGAAATACTTTTGTCCTATCTGAACCCAGTCCTGAAAAGCTTCCTGTGAACTTCAGAACCCAACAATTTTGATGGAGATGCTAGCTCTTCAACTGCTTTCACCAAAGATACTATAATAAATGCATAATATATTCAAGGAGTGTAAAAAAAAATGCAGTTATTCAACACACAACCCACAGGCAGAGAACAAGTTTTCTCTCATTTTCTTTTTTGCTTTTCTCCTTTTTGGGGGGTTGGGATAACTGGGGATTGAACTCAGGGGTACTTGACTACTGAGCCACATCCCCAGCCCTATTTTGTATTTTATTTAGAGACAGAGTCTCAGTGAGTTGCTTAGCACTTGCTTTTGCTGAGGCTGGCTTTGAACTTGCAATCCTCCTGTCTCAGCCTCCCGAGCCGAGCCACTGGGATTACAGGCATGAGCCACTGAGCCTGGCTTTCACGTCCTTTCTTTTGACTCACTTTTTTTGTTTGAGGTGTAGTGAACTTATAAAAATATGTCAAATGCTCCATCTTAAATGTACAGCTCAGTGATTTTGAAGCCTACCATGACTCATCACTGAGATTAAGACATAAAACATGTCTAGCAGCCCAGTTTCTGCCTCCAGTCAGTACTTGCTCACTGTTGTTCAGAGGTGATCACTAGTAGGACTTCAACATCACTTGGCATTCTCTCTTCATGAACTTGTAAATGCAGCACACAGCACACATTCCTCTGCCTCTGGCTTCTTTCACTCAACACATTTGTGGTTCATCCCTGCCTGGCAGTTCCTTTTGTATCACTGTTCTGTCCTTCATTGTTCTTTTTCAATCTATCTTGCGTAGTTAGCTTTGTTTCATTTCACGGACTGTTTAGTGTTAAAAGAGGGCCTGGGGATTATCCAGTCTATTTTAGCCTCTGCTTACTGAGAAAGCAACAATCCAAGGAGTGTATCTTTTCCAGCCAAAGGTCACCCACCAAAGTCTCAATTTTAGCTCACTTCTTACCAATTCGTTTGGTTTGTGTATCCCTAAAGTTCCTAGGTTGAAGCCTGCTTTAGTCAGCTTTTGCATTGCTGTGATCAAAAAGACCTGAGGAAAAGCTTATTGAGGTTTATAGTTTTGGAGATCTCAGTCCATAGATGGCTGACTCCACTGCTCTGGGCCCAAAGTGAGGCAGCACATCATGGGGGAAGGCCCCCGACAGAGGGAAGCTGCTCAGCTCATGGCAGGGCCAGGAAGCAGAAAAGGGGAAAGAACAAACCACAGGGAAGATGCATCTTTCCAGAGCATGCCCCCAGTTATGCATCTCCTCCAGCCACGCCTCGCCTATCCTCAGTTGCCACCCAGTCAGCCCAATCAAACTAGAATGGACTAATTAGGTTACTGCTCCCATAATCTAACCAATTTGCCTTGGAATATTCCTGCATTAACATGTTCAAAAGACAATAAAGCCTAACTTCAATGTGAAGGCATCTGGAGTGGGGGAGGGCCTTTGGGAGGTGATTACTTCATGAGGTGGAGCCCTGAAGAATGGGATTAGTTCCCTTATCAGAGACAGAGATGACCAGGATACTGTACAAAGGTAGCAATCTGCAAATCAGGAAGAGTCCTTACCAGGAACAAATTTGGTCATTACTGATCTTGGACTTCCAGCCTCCAAAACCATGGGAAATATATATCTGTTATTTAAGTCACTCAGTCCACAGAATTCTGTTTGAGTAGTCTAACTGAGGTATTCTTCCCACTTGCACTTTTCCAAGTATTACTTGGCATATATTCCCAAGTGTTTATAGGGAAAATTAAATATTTACATAAAAGCAATTTAGAGAGAGCAATTGGTAGAACTCATGGCTCATCTTCATGGAGTGTCAGAGTCTTAACCTCAATGGAAAAACTCATCAGGATCTCTGAAAACAGGCAACTAAGGGTCTCTCATCTAACTGTACCTTGAAAGGCTCTTAACATCATAGACCCACTTCCCTCCTGCTTCCTTCCCTCATGTCATTGCCACAAGAAGCTTGAAAGCTAATTCTACCTTTTCTGTTTGCAAGGTTTCAGGTCCTAGAGAAAGCTCCCAAATCCTCAGAGACATGGCCTAACCTGCACCATGTTCCAGACTTCTTCATCTCTTGATTTTTATATCAGCTCCATTTATGAACAGAAGGGCTTACAAGCAGTCTCAGAGATGGGGCTGGATGACAAAAGCATCGAGGACCAGGGGGAACCTCTTACTAATGCAGGAGAGTGAGCAGCAGGAAGCCAGATTTTGGGTTGTTAGAAGCAGTCTTATGTAACAGTGTGTTCAAAGTGAGGGTCTGAGAGTCTGGGCTCAACAACAGGTATTTCTACCAAGGGGAAAATACCTTTTATTTCAACATTCACAATTCTGAGTCCTCAGCTATGCTCATATGGCAAAGTTCATAAAAGTTGGAGGGCTTGGTTGACTTTCTCTTGGGGAAAGAGCAGTATTCCGTGGTTTAAAATTTAGCAAGAAAGAAAAATCTAGACATATCCCATTAGAATTAAAGGCAATTATAGGAGATTTTAAATACATCTGTCTATGAACTTTGGTACAAAAAGTACCAAATCCTTGTTATTCTTGAGGCCCACAGACAGACCAGCAGCTGTCAGTATTACCAGAAGCTTGTTAGAGATGAGAAACACAGGCCCCTCCCTAGACTCATTGAGCAGAGTAAGACCCCCAAGAGCTTCATAGGCAGATTAATTTGATAAGCACTGCCCTAGGATCCTTCAGATAAAGAAGTTCAGAGCTCTGGGAAGTGTACTGCTTAGGGGAAGCACATTATTCCATGAACTGTGTGTGTGAATGGTGGCAGGATGGCTGGAGATATTGATTCAAAGACATGGGCTGGGAACAGCTCTCTGTAGCACTTGCTGATTCTCAGTCTGTCTCCAGTTTCAATTAGCAAGTGCATACAACATCCTGGGCACTCAATGTTCCCCATGTCACCATGGACCCAGTGCAGTGGTGAAAGAAAAATTCACTTCAGTGTATCAGCCACACTTCAAGGCGTTTTCCTCTCAGCAGCGGTGGGCATCTGCTTGTCTTTATTACTATGTTTCCTTCTAAATCATCTGAAGATTGCTACGACGAAAAAACAATTTCATGGAATCTGGGCTAATTAAAGAAAACAAAAATCTCTACTGCTATCTATAGTTGTATAACTCACATACATTCAAGAGTTCTTCTGAATGCTAATTCCATTCTTTTATTTCCTCATACCACAAACATTTTAGTTTATCAGCCTTTTTACAACTTGATTTATACAAGCGAATAGTAAAGGAAAAACATTCTTTCATCCTCTGAAATACATGTATGAAATATATAACAGACCCTAGTATTTAAACATAAACAGTTTTAGCTGAAGCAGCTTTATTGCAATCTCTTAAAATTAGCTTTACACTTTAAATATCTGTGCCTGTAAGGTTTTGCATAATCTATAATTTAACACAGTTATTTCTGAAGCAGTTCAGACTTTTAACAAACTGGGTGAAAAATGCCAACAAAACTTCAACAAAAAGCTATAACAAAAATTATCAGAAACTTAAATTATTTACAATTAAACATTTAGGGTCCTGATTCACAAAACTTAGTGCATTTCATGATTTATTTATGAGTTTTATAAAGATAAGCAATATGTATTTACCCTAACCCCAGGTAAATTCTGGAGCAATCAGCTTTTAGAAGAAAATTCATCACTATGCTTACTGAAAACCAGAGAAAGAATAACAAAACCAAACTTCACCAACTGCAATTGATTTGAAATTTAAGCAAAGAGCAGCTATCAGAACATCAGGCCAACAAACAGAAGAGCTGATGCTGCTTTTGACAGACTGCCTGTGTACAGGATGACAAATGAGCCGCTCCCCTTTTTAGTTCAAAAACAAACAAACAAAACACCTCCCAAAATCTACAGAGGAACTCTGGGCAACAGTCTCCCTTTCTCCAACAGCATTGTCTCTTAACTTAATGCCTGAGTCAGCAAATTTAAAACAACTAAGAAGGAAAGTTTCTTTAAATAGCCTCCAGAGTTCAATGGGTTCTATCAGTGGGGAAAGCCTGGGGTAAGGTGGTCAGCTGCATCATAAATGAGGTGCCAGGAATCCAAGATCACCACTGAGTGCCTCAATGGATTCCAGCAATTTTATGTACATACAAAGAAGACTTTAAAAAAAGAAAAGTGTTTGTAAAGTAAAGTTATGAATCTTGGTGAATCAGGTCCCAGGTAGTCTTTAAAGGAACATTTACAGTAAACATTTTAAACTCTGGAATGCTAGGTATTGTACAATTATCAGCACATTACATTTAGAAAACTGCTTAGACAGTATTTGCTCCAGAGTAAGAATTCAAAAATGTACAAGCCAATTCACAATGACTTTAGATACAATGTTATTAAAATACATTGTTAATCATAAAAATACTTTACTATGTACATGTACACTGTATAAACTCTATATTTACCTACTAAAGGAAGTCTCTAAATCAATTTCTGGCCCAGGCAACACTGCAGTTTTATCATTTGGTCTTCATACCATACACATAGGCTGAGAGTCAGTGTCCCTGCAGTCAGTCCTTCAATCAAACAGTAATGCATTTCTCTTTCTGCAGGAAGTTTAGTTGGAAGAGTCAGTTTTACTTCCACTGTATTTTACTTTCCTAAATGCTGGTCCTAGTAACTCTGGGCATTCACATAATTCATTTGCAATTTGGTTACACTTCAAAATAAGGCTATAGTTCATTTCATCAGTTATTACGCTATCTTGCTTGTAGTCAGGATGGTGTGCTATAAACTCTCTCATCCATCTAGCAACCGTCATCAGTTCACCTGGAAAAAAAGTTAGGACAACATAAAACACATATTTTTAAAAATATGTTGATATTTAGTGGCCAGCATAAACATGATTCTGTAAAAATAGGACCTGTCAGTATAGCCACCTGGCAGGGGCTGGGAAGAACATGTCTGTCATAGTGTTTAAAGAATTCCTCCAGGGGAAGAATTTTAGGGTGCAGACGGGCAATGAGAACATCTACATCAAGTTTCTATGGTACCTGTTAGATGTTACCCACATGCCGACATTGCCAGCTATTAAGGGACAGGAGCCAGCACAAGACCATGTGTCCTCCCACTTAGCCAGAGGGTTAAGACTACATATGCCGCTGTCATGAGATGCCTCAGAGGACTGAAGGGTCCCTAGAGTAAACTTTGATCAAAGAGGTGGAGAGAACAAAAGACTAGTAAGCACAGTGAATGAAGAGGGAAACTGACAGATACACCATTTTGGGGAGGGCTGATACCGGCTTCTACAGATGATCCTTTCTTATGACCACAGAAGTAAAACACACATGCCATTATAAGTATTACTGTTACTTTCATGAACAGCTGGAGGCTCTCCAGTATCAGGCATTGCAAATGTGATCTCCTTGAAGCTAACCAGGAAAGAGCATCCTGAGGATGCTTATTGTACAGAAGAAGGCTGAAGAACATCTTAGCTGTGCAGCTCATTTAACCTACAAAGTTACTTAGTCCTATAGAAGAGCCCGAGACGATACACAACACACACAGTTGGACATAAATGACAAACAGGCAGTCCAGATAATGTATCTTCAGATACTCTGCAGAGTATCTGAAGATACATTATCTGGGGGGAAAAAAACGCCCCAAAACCAAAAAACAACAACCAACTCTGCTCATTTAAACTATTAATTGCCAGAGATTATATGGCATATCCAATTGCAGAGTTGTTAAAATGTGAAAAAGTGTGCATGGATAAGATGTAGTCTACTTTAAAGGGTACTTTCAGGAATCTAATAATGTAAGAGTCTGTTCTGTCTACATTATGAGATTAAGAAAAAGAAAAGGAAGTTACTATACCAGACGCTCTCTTCTTAATTAGCTTTAAGTAGTTCAGAATACTACATCTGGTATCCACATCCACTTCCATGTTTTCAAGATAAGAGTTCAGAATCGGTATGAGTCCAGGAAACACACCTTCCTATAAGAAGCAGGACACATTATGAATGCCCAGCCAGCTGGTAACATAGCAAGGGGCACTGAAGGAACCTTACCTTCCCATTGATGATGGTGTCTATGCTCATGAGGGTATACTCCTCTGCAGCCGGCTCCGAGCTGCTCTGGGCTTTGCCACACCCGTCCACCACAGCATTACCACCTGTGGAGGACAGGGCAGAGGAGCTTTAGTGGCTTGAAACAGCATTAACTGACCTCAGAAATCTGAGAAAACGTTAATACCTTTGCAAATATCTTTCCTGAAATAAAACATTCCCTGCAGGACAGCATCTCGTTTCTGTGCTACTTTCATGTTTTCATCAACCTAAGGGAGAAAAGAATCATGACTAAGTCAAGACACTCTTGACCAAACCTAGAGGTTGTAGAGCCTTGCTCCTCCCCATGAGAACTCTACTCTCTAGCCCTTCCTGGTTGAGAACACATCTCTCATCTATATGGGGCATGTCACTTACCATCATGCAACAGGTTTGTGCTTTTTAATACAATGGGAGATAACATACTCACACAGGAAACCTGCATTTCAAAACATCTTTGTGAATGATCATGTATAAATCTACAGTGCTGAAAGGGCAGGTGGTTGGTTCCCTTTACACAGCACAGCAGCTCTCCTAAGGTCCAGGGCAACGAAGGCAGGACAGGGCTTGAGTCCAGTTCCCCTGACTTCCAGTGCTCTCCATTCTCTGCCCTGGGGTTTTGTTGCTTCACTTGAGTAAGGAGAGTGAAAGGGTGAACAGGCTATCAGACCTGGGATAAGTTTATGGCCCTCCAAGGGCAGAGGGTCACTGGGCTATTTGCCAACCTAGTGGCTCTGACCACATAGACTCATTCATGAGCCTGAAAATATCCTATTTATTTGTGAATTCTAAATTTCTCCAGTGACTTTTTAAGACCCTTTAATATTTATTTATTTTTTAGTTTTCGGTGGACACAACATCTTTCTTTGTATGTGGTGCTGAGGATCGAATCCGGGCCACATGCTTGCCAGGCGAGCACACTAATTTTTAAGACCCTTCAAGCAGACCTTTTAAAGCTTCTTAGTGTTTCCCTTATTTTCTATAATGCTATCTTATGTGAAACCTCAATATAAAAATACACACAAGTTAGAGGGTCAGGCTGAAGCAGGATGGTTGGTACAGTCTGTCTTGATTCTTTGCATTCTCCCATGTTAACTATGGGAGAGGGGACCTGTTACTGTTTTGTTATTTTTAAGTCACACAGCACCTTCTGAATAAACTAGACACTTCTAGGAGCATGTTCACATATGTCTCAAATTCCACCATGGCTCCCTCTTAGGTTTTCATTTCTAATGATATTTGGTTTTTTTCCCTTAATCTTGACAAAAGTTCACATGGACCACTGGTTTTAGTTTGTTTTCATAAATTCCTGTTTAAAAGTATATTTTGCAATTGCTCGGCAAGCTAGTCCCGTCCATCAGTGAGGACACAATGACAAGGTGCAACCTAAGAAGCAGAGTGTACTCTCACCAGACACTGAATCTCCTGGTGATCTTAAACTTCCTGGCCCTGAGAACAGTGAGAAATAAATTTCTGTCTTTTATGGATGTAGTAGCCCCAACAGACTAAGACTCAATAAGACTTCTGGTATGCTTTTAGCCTTAAATTAACCTATGAAGTTTTGCTAAAATCACCTGGAATACAAAGAAGATTTGGGTGGGAAGAGAATTCTACAGTCATAATTCTTTACTGCTCAGGATTCTGGACTTCTTTCCATTTCTTCTAGCATTTAATGCTAAAAGGAAGTCATATCTGTTATTTTTCCTCCTTGGCAGGTATCCTAATTTTCTCCTTGAGGTCCAGAAATTCCCATATTTGGGTTCTTCTTTAAATATTTCTGTCTCACTGATACAGTGGTGCATATGTCTATAATCCAAGCTACTTAGGAGACCAAGGAAGGAGGATCTCAAGTTTGAGGCCAGCATGGAAATTTAGCAAGACCCCGTCTCGAAATAGATAAAAAAGGGCTAGGGCTAGGGCTATACCTCAGAGGTAGAATGCTCCTGGGTTCAACTTCAAGTACCACCCTCCATCCCCAAATCTTTTATCCATTCTATGGACTCCTATATTAAAGGAAAGCTCTGTCCATTATTTCCTTGATTACTGTTACCTCACATCTCTTCTATATAAACCATTCTCTTCTTCTATATTATTAGGCAAAACACTGATACTTTCTAGTGCAATTCTCCATGATTCAGTTATTCCACAATTTCAAGAATTTGGTCTCTGAAGTCATTAACGGACCCTAGCAACCTACCTGCTTTACTGGAGAGCACACTGAGTTTTAAAAGTGTTTGTGTGGAACTTTTATGGTTCAAATACTCTTTGGTCCATAGAGCTTATTTATTTTTATGGATAAAACCCTTTCCATAGAATTTTATGAATACAATAATCAGAATTTCCTTATGAACTCTTTCCAGTTTCTTAAATTAACTCTTTCCAATTTCTTAAAGTCATTGAGGACAGTATCACTGCAGGCCTGGCTGGACCTTCTCATTAGGATGCTGATGGTTCTTAACTTTCTGTTGGCTTTCAGACATCTACTCATATTAATAAACAGCTTAGGCTAGTAGCTGACATGGACTCTCCCTTGGAGGACTCTTGATTTCCCCAACACATACATCATTAAGGGCAACATGGGCACACAGAACTCTATAGGGTACCTCTTGCCTGGTATGATGCACAGGCACAGACAGGCCGACAGCCAGAGTGTATGTGAGAGGGGACAGGTGTAAACTGGCAAGCCCCTTATGGGAGGACCAGAGAGCAAGGTTTTCCTGGAGCAAAGGCTGGAGCTGAATAGCTTCATGCTTTCCTCTATGTCTGTGGTGACAGGCAGCATTGCTGCTTCTCTGCCCTTCTCGTGCCAAGAGGCATGGGCCCAGAAACACAAGACCTCAACTTCCTCAGCAGCTGTCCCCGGACACATGGCTTTCCTGCCTCACAGCCTCCAAGGCTCTGCTAGAAAACTTCCCCCAAGAAGCTCCCTCTTTGGTCATTGCTGTGTTGTTTATTTTTCTGATAGTCCAATGCCATCTACATACTCCAGACAAGTTTGATTCAATTGAGGAAAACCTTTCCTGCATTCTAACAGCTACTCTTTCCCTTCCTATCCTAATTTTAACATTGTCATACAAATGGGGTTCTTGGGTAGATGAAACCAATTTCTAGAGCTGCCTCCAGCCATTGTCATGAATGGAAACCTCTAGAAATAAGGCTTAAGAATTGTAATGCAAAAAAAAAAAAAAAAGAGCTCATGTATAATGGCATAATTTGGCTTGAACACACTTTATATACAGAGGTACGAAAAACTGTGCTGTGAATGCATAATTATGAATGTAATGCATTCCACTATTGTCATGTGTGTAAGGAAAAAAAAAAGAAATAAGGCTTAAGTTTAAAAGGAAATGAATAAAAAGGGCATTTTATCCTGAAGAGTAAGGCTGGAAATACATGGTATAAATAAATGAGTAAATACAAGTGCAGGTATCTACATCCAGGACTATAATAAACTACATCCTTACCTTTGACAGTGGAATTAGAAAATCCAATTTGTATGATAGGATCACCCTGGTGAGCAGGACCACAAACACCACATAGGCAGAGTTCTCAAAGTCTGTTAACTGCACCTAGACAAGCAGAAGCCCAGAGATGTTAAGAGACCAACAACCCAGCCCTAGTCTTCCTTCTCCCTAGTACCTCTTCAGACTACAGTATTCCCAAGCCACCCATTCTTCCCCATCTAGGGCTAGAAACTCCTTGCCCACATCTATGCTCAGAAATCAACCTTCCTTAGCTTTTGGACTCACTTTTAACAGACACATTCTCAATTTCTATTGCCTTATAAGAAACTTAAGAGCCTATGGCAAGAGTACCAGAAGAGTGACAAGCAGTCAGAAGAGAGCTTAGGGTCAGTTCCTGCCGATGCATGTGTCTCACCTCCATGGGTCGGAATTCTACTCTCCATCCAATGTCTGAGTTTGGAGGAGGGGGCTTAAATCTCATTGTCTGCCAATTTGTGGACTGAATATTCTAAAATAAAGAAAGTAGAGGATAAAATCAACTTTCTGCAGTCAGGGGAACATTATAATGATTTGGTATTTAAGTAGGGAAGAAAACTATTCATTGTCTATGTCAAATACTTTCAATTTACAAATACAAAAATGACAATTTAAGATTTTATTGAGTGTGACCTGTTAGGAAACCAAACAGCAGGTGTTTAGTAAAAGTCAGTGATGTCTGCAGCACTGAAGTAACGGACCAGGTTACTTTTTGTGGAGTATGTTTGAATTTTTTTATCACTAGGCAAAAAAGAGAAAATACCAAACAAAAATGTATGATCACAGGATAACTGTGATTGATTTTATTTTCATAAAGTAAGAATACTTAAAACCAATTAATTTTTCTTGGTTGTTCACTATGCTAGGTAACAAAAGACATATGAGATTTCTATTGTCACCAATTTCTCATAGCTAAGAAAACTGCCTCTTGAAGGGAAATACACTTAAAAAAGAGGTGATACCTCAAAATGGTCAGACTCATTGGCATCATCCAGATGTATTTTCTCCTCAAACAGAGTCAGTGGGTCTCTAATAAAGAGATGGGCAACATGTTGGGCCAGGAGATGATCAATGCCTGCAAAGACAGAGCACACAGGGCTAACTGCAAAGTATGAGACACCACTTGTTCTAAGTCCACAGTATGAAGAAGGGGTGTCTAGAAGTTTAGGAAATGGCTGGATTGTTCAGAATTCTCACCTGGCCCAGGATTTTATCCTATGGACACTGGGGAAGAGTCAGAGATTTATTCATTACTTACACAATGCCTGCTGGGGCACTGGTGTGGACCTACATACAGAGCTCCAAAGTAAGTTCCTTTTGCTAAAAGTCAAGAAGATCTCACAAGTATTTGGAACTTGAAACTTTAGGAACAAGCAGCCTCATAAGAAAAGTTAGAGACTTCACACTAAAAATAGAAACCAGACCACGAGTCAGAAAAGAAATTTAAAAGTGCTTTGAAGACAAAAGGCGTACAATCAAACCTAGAAAAACAGAAGAACACTCACCTTCCTGAAGAAGTTGCTGGTAGATTTCTTTATCTATGGTCAAGTCGATGTCATTGTACTTCTCACCACACTTAGATAAGTAGCTGTCTATTGAATCATATCGGGATTTACTAATCCTATAATTATTCTTCTTCAGTGGCTAAAATATAAAAAGTATGAATGAATGCCACAAAAAATTAACATCAACTAATTATATAAAAATATATTTTATACATAACAAAATATAAAATGTTTACTTCTATTTAGACAGCATATTTAATAATTTGTGATAATTATATAAAGACCACAGCAGAACAGCCTGGTTGAAAACATCAAAATCATTGGGGCAGGGCAAGGGGGTGGGGGGTGTTCTTTGAAAATACCCTTGTTCCCATCCCAGGTCCCAGTCCTGGAGATTCCCATTTACTCAGTCGAAGAGGGACCTGAGTACCTATTTTTAAAGATCTTCATAGGTGTTTGTGAAACACACTCTTGTTTGGAGTGATGCAGTGTTATAGTTCAACATGCAAACAAGAGGTACTAACCTATGTTTACCAGGAAATGTCTGACCCTGTACATGGAAAAACCATCTCTGACAGCAAACTATACTTCCACAGAGGAGAGCATCTTATATGAAGCACTCCAAAGCCTTTTGGTAAAAGTAGTCGCTGATCAGCAATGACTTCCAAAATGTACTATTTTTTTTTTTTTTAAGCCAAAACAAACCCAGATTTCAACAAATGATAAAAGCTGACTCCCCAAACCAAATCACTTCCCCATATATTTACCCCAAAACAAAGATGGTATATTTCTTCCTATGTGTGACCCTAATCCACTCAAGATAAAAATGTAAGAGATTTCAAAATTGCAAGTGGTTACAATAACCCATTTTACCTGCTTGATTTAAAAGAGCTATTAAGGAAAAATCATTCCCACCTCCAGTCCTCTCTCCTCTCGAGTTCTATCATCTACAGATGCAGAAATCACTCCCCAGCGACAATCAATGTCTGACACATAGCCTCGGTAAAAAGGAGATGCAGCACTCAAAGCCATCTAAAAACAAACAGAAGTCAGCTCCTGCAGGTTCAATGTATCATTTACATTGAAAAAAGCCCCATGCACTCATTTTCTGATCAAAAAGACCAGTTTATGTAATCCACAGTGAGTTCTACCATATGCATCTAAGCCTGCTTTTTCATAAGTGAAAACACCAGGAACAACCCAAGTCTTTGGATTCATTTAAATTATCCTCTCTATAATATGAGGACACAATGGGAGAGGGAGAATGGCCACTCTCAAACTTGACAGTTATTTAACAAACACATGTTTTACTAGGAACAGAAAGAGTCTACAATTTAGACTATCCATTAGCTTTACATCTACATACTATTTATTTATTTATTTAATATTTATTTATTTTTTAGTATTTGGCAGACACAACATCTTTGTTTGTATGTGGTGCTGAGGATTGAACCCGGGCCGCACGCATGCCAGGTGAGCGCGCTACCACTTGAGCCACATCCCCAGCCCCTACATACTATTTAAATTAGTTCATTTCTCAATGAAGTCTTAACTGGACTTAAATAGTATGCTATCAGCAAATTCTGCACGTGTGGTCTTATTTTATACAAAGTTATATTTAAAATAAGATATACTTTCTACTTACAACAATTGGACAGATAGTGGCCAACTGATCATAAAGGTATCTTGCCTCAGATATGCTGCAGGCTTGGAATGTCACCTGTGAAGAATGCAAGTTATTAACAACAATTAAAAAATCCCCAGCGTTCTTCCCAAGCAGTAAAGTCTGAGAAGGAAGATGGCTAGAGAAAATGACAATGTTTAATGCAGGAGTTTTGTTTCAATGCTGTCTTGGGTGAATTTAACTAGAAAATGGTATTTAATCATCTTCTGTTGTATATGGACAACTCATAAACAACCATGTTCCTAAGTGAAACAGACTAACAAGTTAGGAAGAGAAATCAGACACAGGCAGCATGGTAAAGTTCAGCAAGGCATTTCCTCTTCTGGATTGTTTCCTTCTATAGGTTTCCCATCACTGCAGTTAGCAGAGGGCTTATTGAAATTTTGATATAAAAGGGATTTGAAGATGCTAAAGAATACCTTCAAAAGTACACAGGTAGCAGGAAAAGGAAGGTTTGAAAGTGGGCAAGACTTGAAAGAAGGGAAAGCAGTTAAAACCCTAGAGCTGACACTGAAGAATCAGTAGGGCTGGGGGAAGGCTGGCAAAGGAGTGGCAAATCAAAGCAGCAGGCTCTGGTGACCATGGTACAGTGATGGGAAGACTCAGGTTTTCGTTGAGAAAAGTTTATAGAGAAGAGAGTGCATAATGACATGATTAGCTTATAGAGGCCCTGTGAGGGGCTAGGTCTCCAGGGATGTTGTCCAGGGGAGAAATCAGAGCTGAAGAAATACTTGGGGAGCAGGGGTCAGACCATGTCCTGAAGATAGGGAGACCCATGTGAAGGATAAGCAGGACACTGAAAAGTTAAGAGAAAAAGATCACACAATTGGTGAGCACAAATCCTCTAAAATAATCACCCAAAGGAAGCCAAAACATGTCCTGCCTTCTTCCATGAGGAAGGGTGGTGGTCATGGAAGAAGGGGCAGGAACACGAATTGTGTTTCTATTAACATATTTTTCATTGCAAATTTGGAACTGCTTTATTTTTTTTCCACTACTGTTATTAAGTAATGACAGCTTAAGTTCAGTGTTGGTGCAGAAAATAATTTAGATGCTTAAGAGCTGAAATACAGCAGCTAAATGGTTTATGTTTTCAATCTCAACCCATTAATTCCAACAATTTCATCTATGTCCCAACTTTGCATTATAAGAGCAGAAAACTTTTGTGGGAGACTCACAAGTATACCTGCTAAATTATAATTGAATTTTATGTCAGTATGGTAACTACAAAAATAATTTAAAACAATTTATATGTCTTGACTTTCCTATAATTCCTATGTCAATGCTCAAATTGGTACATTAGTTCCATTAAAAGGCAATGATAATTAACCAGCCATTACAGATTAATTCAACATAGAGAAGTGCTGTGTTAATGACATCAAGGAGTTTCAAAGGTTAAAATAAAGATAAAGGGGGACTGGCAGTTGGGTCACTGACAACCAGAGCAAGGAAAGTTTCTGCAAAGTAGAAACTGAGAAATTAACTTGTGTGTGGTGAGCATTAAACATGAAGAAAATGATGATAAAGTATTCGTGTATTTGTTTGCTGTGACCCCATCACTTAAATATAAGCACCAGGTGGGATCTATCTTGCCCTAATAGTCCAAGTTTGTTGGGATACCAAGTATGTTGGGACAGTATCTGACACCTACTTACTGCTTTAAAAATATTTATTAAATTAACAAGAGTACCGAGAAGGAAAGAGCTGCTAAAGAGAAGACAGGGGCAAAGATAATGTTGAGATACTGGAAAACCATGATCGTAAAGGGATTGAGATTTTTCAATACCTAAATCTTGAAGTATTTTGGCTAAAGAATTCTGTTGAATATACATCTTTTAGTTTACTTAGGTCCTTTTCATGATATTTTAGAATGTGTTAGTTACTCTTCTTGATTTTTCAAAGACACTATGATAAACACTTTTCCTTTCCTATGTTTTGATTGATTACTCTGAGATGGCCTAGGACACATTAGTAAATCCCTAGGCAAATCTTGAAAAAGCCAACCCTAGAAAAGTCTACTTAAGAAAAGCATCAAATGGAATTTGATAGTTCAGTTTACAACTGTGACTAAGTTATTTTGGTCACTTTAAATACATTTAGTAATGACCTTTCTTACTCTAGAACTGATATAACAAGTTTATCAAATTAAACAGAGCATCATCATAATGATGGTTTTAATGGGGAAAGAAAAAAGTTCTTATAACTTAAAAAGGTATGAATATATGAACAGTTTTGGCTTCTGGTGTCTTTTTTTTTTTTTTGGTACCAGGGGTGCTTAATTACTGAACCAAATCCTTTTTATATTTTATTTAAAGATATGATCTCACTAATTGCTTAGGACCTCACTATGTTCCTGAGGCTGGCTTTTAAATTTGTGATCTTCCTGTCTCTTTCTTCCTGAGACTACAGGTATGTGCACTACAATTGGCCTTTTGGTGTCCTTGCATCATATAAAGAAGAAACACAATGTCACTAGGAAACTGACAAGAGGGGTGACTAAGGAAGAACTGTGAAAAGTGGATGTCAGAAACCTTTTCTAAAATTTTTGAAGCCACATGATTTTCTGAGGCAGGAAAAAAAAAACTATTATAACATGTCAGGAACTTATTAAATGTTTCATAAAAAGCCCAGAAAGTATTAAAAATTTTGTAGTTAAAATGCTTTTTTGTCTTGTACAGTAAAAGTCTTCCATTAACCTTAAAAAATAATGGGCTGGGTGTGGTGCCGCATGCCTGCATTCCCAGTGACTTAGGAGGCTGAGGCAAGAAGACTGCAAGTTTGAGGCCAGCCTCAGCAACTTACTGAGGCTCTTCCCAAAATAAAAAAAATAAATAGCATGAGTTCAATCCCTAGTTTAAAAAAAAAAAAAAAGAATTAACTTTGAAATTATTTTTTTTGCTGCTTTACTATAATAAACAATTTTTCTTGTTTCACTTAAGATACAAAAGCAGCAATTTCTGTGGCTATTTGTGGAATCCACCTCACTTGGCACATACTAAACATTATCTGTGTTAATCATTTTTTTGAATGGAGTATTGAAACTGGACATGTCACTAGGAAAAAGGAAAGCTTAATACTAAACTCATGACAAAGCTTAAATTGGATAGAGAGCTATATCTTCACACAATGAAAATGTTTATCACCTACCATTAAAGCACATTTATTTGTACAAATACAGTGTTTCAAGGGAAAGAATACACCTTTGGAACTATATCAGAGCAACTGTGCTGTCCTTGGTGGAACACCCTGGTTTATTATTAAACCAAGAAAACGTAATGGTACTTGGAGAGCACTCACACAATTTTAAAGCCACACACTATAAGTGCCTGAGCTTAATGGCTCGCTTTAGAAATATTTGTAATTAAGATAGGAAAGCAGATATGCAGTTAAAAGTCAAAGGGTCTCTTTTTAAATTAGGTATAACCATTTGTAAGGAAACTTACTGGCCCTTGTTTGTTTAAAAGCTTATGCCACAAATCCTATGCCTTATATGTCAGGAAAAGAGAGAAGGAAAAAAGAAAAAGAAAAAACCTTATGCTTGTCCATGTTAACCATAATCAGTCTGGAGAAAAATGACCTGCACATTCAAGTTGTGTTATACAGTTTTAAAAATAAACAAGCTGGAGGTATTTGGGCAAGAAGACACGAGATGTGCTGAGATAAGAAGAAAGCTGGGTTTCTTGGCCTCTGTGCTGATAGCCATTAGGTTCTGCACTACTGCAGACCCCTAAAGACTCTCTCTAATCAGCTGAAGTAATTACAAATGGAGAAAAATCTGCTTGGGCAACAAACACTGAATGAAATTTGAAATTCTCAATTTGAAAATTCATGCTTTATACAACTTTTTACTCCTGCTATAATATGATTTTAATCAAATTACTGCTAAAATCAAGTATTTATTAATAAAACAATGAAATAAAACAGAGTGGGACCAAAAGGGCCTTAACATAAACCCTTCTTTCAACTGAAAACAAAAAAAGAGGAGAAATGAAGGGAGTCACCCAGATACCTGCACAGTAAGAGCCAACAAGTGACTGCAAACCCATGTGTGACAGGCCCTGTGCTCTCCCTCCCTGGGTCCAGAGTGACTTGAGCACAATCACTGCCAGGGGCATCAGTGACTCAATCAGATCCAGGAAAATTTTTAAATGAGTAAACGAAGAAGGGCTATTTTACCTCCTGTGTAACTTAGCTAGGGCAAGGCAAACACAGGCTGATAAACAGTTATTCATTTATACTACTGGGTGGTTTTGTATGAATACAAAAATTTCAAGTTCAAACAGTCTTTCCCTTGGATCACAAATTCACTGGAGTACTTACATCCCAGCTCATTTTCAGAAATAATAGATTTGAGGTTAACAACTTCACTCTGCCATTAGGTGGCAGTAAAAATCAGACATATAAAGAGAATGCAGACAATGATCAGAGATGCTCTGCGTTTTAACACTATATACCTTTGTGGTGAACTGTAGACTCTGGAATTCTTGGTCAAAAATTTAAATGAATTTACTAAAACAATCTCAATAGAGATTTCTCAATTCTAGAAAGGCATACCAGCTGCTATTTCAATCTAGTTAAAATGTGATTTTTAAAACAGGAAACATGCATATATAAAGAAAATAAGTAAATAAGTAATGGGTGAGGACACTTTGCCTCTCCATAGATTTGAAACAATACCTGAAGACAGCAATTTCCCATCCCAAATCCCATGGCATCCATGTAAATATGATCTGGCTTGGAAGCCTTTGTTGCCTCATCGTCTGGAAATGTTTCTATGAATGGAGATGGTGTGTTCTTGTCCTTAAATACTGTATTATTAATTAGAGGAGAAAAAAAAAGGAAATGGTGAGAATCAAGGATTAAAGAGGTCTCTTTCCCACACCACCTCCTCTCTGTAGACTTACTTGGTACATTGATGACAACCTTTTCTCCTCTCCTATGCCGGATATTTCTTGTTAAGGTACTAAAACAGACAACCAAATGTCATAAATTGGTTACGTAAGCTCCATCATATATAAGAAGAATTTGACCACGAACAACTTGAAAATGGAATAAAATCCTACTTCAAACTAATATTCTAAGATAATCCTACAGAAAATGCATGTGTCAAGATAGTCTAAGGGGACTTTCTGAAAGAAGGTTTTTGCATTATATTAACTCCTTGGTTCTTACTTGAGAATGCCATTTTTCTCCCCTGCTCAACCCTGTACTTTTTCAAGGCTTCCTGTTATTCACCAAATCAAGATCAGATGTTCAAGGTCTACATGGGCTGATTCACTCTGTTTCTAACACTTACCACATTAACTACAAAGATTATAGTCAAATTTAAATATTCATTTCCCAAGACATGTCTGGAGCCCCAATGCCTACTCTTTCTCTACCCCAACCTTGAGGCCCATGCTGGCTGTCTAATCCAGAAGCCACCAGAAGCATTAGGGCCACTGAGTACTTAAAATATGACCAGACCTAATTGAACTCACTATGAGAGTAATACACACCAGAGTCTGAACATCTGGTTAAAAAAAAAAAAAAAAAGTAAAAACTCTTCTTAATAATTGAAAAATACCCAATACATGTTGAAATAAGTTTGGATACACTGGTTTAAATATTTTATAAAATCATGTTCAGCTCTTTTTAATTTTAACATAACTATTAGAAAATCTACAATTACATTTGCAGCTCACAGTATATGCTTCTACTGGAGGTGTTGACTGACTCAGCTAAACACCACCTCTTCCATGAACCTTGCTTGAATCCCCTCAGTCAGAAGCACCCTCTTTTCTCCAAGGAGAATCTCTGGTGCTGCCATCTTTCAACATCTGTCATAATCTATTTTTTTTTTTTTTGCAGATTAATATTTTTATGTTCCTTTAAACACATGACAACACTTGAAATTGGAAACTATGTTTATAAAAGCTGTCTCCCACAAAAGATTCTTAATGTAGCAGATATGGATGCCTGTTAACGGAATGAGCACAGCATCCATGACTCTGGATCAGTAAACTTTCCTCAGTATACTATCAAGTACTCAAGATACAAAGCCAAGCTGGTGTGGTCCCTGAAGCAATTTAAAAACCTAAGAATTAAACTCCAAAGGCAGGATGCTGCTCAATGGTAGAATATGTGCTCAACATGTGTGAGGCCCTAGGTTCAGTTCCCAGTACCACCCCCCCACACCCACCCCCACACAGAGTGAAAAATTCAACTACAATATAACAGAGCTAGAAGTCAGCAGAACCGAAGGAGAAGTGTGACTCATATATGCCAGGTGCTGTACAGGTTTTGCCTTATTGCCATGGGATACAGAATGAGATAAGTAGATCACAGCTCCTGGTGATCACTTAGAGATGGGAAAGATAGGAATAACTGAAGGAAATATGTCTCCAAATCAGTTTGTTTATAGAACTAGGACTGGAAACAATCTGCTCACTAAAAGAGGACAGAAGCTGAACTTATGCATTTTAAGATGACTTGGAAAATGAACAAATCAAACCTGGATGCAAGAAGCAACACTTATTGGCTTCTGAGGTGTGAGCAGAAGCATGTCTGCTGCCTTCTGTGTGACTCAGGAAACAGCTCAAAGCAGATTACCAGGCTAATACTCAGAGGGGCATTTCAACACAGACATACTCACCTGAAGCGGGGGTGCTTGTTTATCGCTTCATCTGGAAAGAAGAGGGACTTGGAAGCTCCTCCTTCGACTGGGTTGGGTTTGTACTCAGGCAGGGTGAACCCCAGACAGCCTAATCTACAACAAATTGAAAACTAATCAGATGAGAATTAACTGCCTGTAGTCTTGCTATAATTTGCATCTGTTAAAAATATTCATTTCTATTATTTTCCTTTATAGGGTCTAGCACAGGTTTTGTGATCCCCAGAGCAATGCCTGTACTACCACTCCCTGTTCTTCATCACCTTGCTTCAGAATCTGCTTTTGTGATTCCAGCCCGTCAGTGACTTTGAGTCTCTACTCACTCAACATCTATATAATATTTATTTAGGTTTTTCTGAGAACTGACAGCATGGAAGTTACTCTCCTTGGTGATGTTGTTTCTGGTTACAGGTACCCATACCCACCTTCCTTGGTGTCCTTCATCAGCTAAACTCACGTTATCTTTTGAGCCTGTACAACACCTGTCCCAACCTCCTGATAGGCTTCATCTGAATCTGGAGGTGATCTCCAGGTTTTCGCTTCTACAGTCTACTCAGGAACCTTCTGGGTTAGCCAGTGTCTCTGGTGTCCCCATCTACCATCAAGAGTTCACTCTGAAGTCCAAACCCAACCTATTATCTTACTTGACCTTAAGAACAACTCTAATTTCAATGTAGAAAAATGAGGCTCCAAATTTGTACCTAAATGTAAAGCTCAAATTCCACCTCACTTGTATTAAGGCTACCAGTTCTTCCCAGTTTGGAACTATAAGGTCAATGTTAAGTGCTATGAGGAAAAAGACTAACAAGATTAGTGAAAGCAAAACAAGGCAGGCTCTTGTCTGGGTTTTAGACCAGTGTAGGAAACTTTGAGCTTGAGGGCCAAGACTAGCCCTCACCGTATCTTTAACTCCTACCTTTCCTAAGGTACCTGCTGGCTGCCTACATGCAACATATAAGCAACTACTGAAGTGGCTGATCTTATCTGGAAAACAGTTTCCAATTGTAAGGGATCCTGAGAATTCTGTGTATCACTTGCTGTGAGCCTGCAACTTTAGGAAAAGTCCTTTAGAAGAATAAAATGACAATCTGGAGGATTTCTTACTAAGAAAATCAGGCAGGGGAAGGCAGAATTGCAATAGGATCCTCAGACACCAATAGTATTGCCTTCTAGACCAGAGTCTGCCAACAGAATTGTCTGCAGTGATAGAAATGTTTAATGCCTGTGCTGTCCAAACCACGGTGGAGATTGCTAGCCACGAGTGTTACAGAGCATTTGAAATGAGGCCAGCATGACATGCCAGTCAGAATTTCATTTTATTTAATTCATTTAAATAGTCACATGTCTGTTGTTTTGGATTACTGTTCCACACTACAGAGCTTTGCTTCTTTACAGAGAAAATCACATTGCTTACATTTAAACAAAGCATCCTTTCTCTTTTGCGGCTGTAACTTTATCATTCACTATCAATATGAAGTGAGGTTTCTAAGAACTAAATGATTAATAATTTTTCTTATTTTGTTTACAAATCCCCAAATAACCTCCATTCTAATGGCTAATTTTTTAATTACAAATTTTTACAACAAAATCTATTCCTGTCTCAATTCTCCCTTCACAATGGCTCAAGAAGCCAAAACCTTTTTTAAAAGAACATCAATGAGCTACTCTCAGTTAAGCTAATAGATACAGTGGGACTTAACCAAATATTTTATGGCCCAGAAAGAACCACCTATCAATACTATACCTATTAAAAGCATCACCTATCAATACTACACATTCTGGCTGGTGTGGTAAAAGCATTCTGGTAATCTCAGCTACTCAGGAGGCTGAGGCAGGAGGATTGCAAGTTGAAGCCAGCCTGGGCAACTTAGCAAGACCCTGTCTCAAAATAAAAAAAAAAGGATTGGGGAAGTAGCTCAGTGGCAGAGCAGAGCACCACTGGGTTCAATCCCCAGTGCTATGAAACAAATAAAAAACTATATATTCTTAAATTTTAAAATATAAAACATTTCTGGATTGTGTTACCCCTTGTTGCTATTAATTTTAGCAGGGAAAAAGAAAAAATGTAAGATCCTGAATTTTCAAATTCACAAAGTTGTCAAATAACATCCAGCCTGCTTCTAGGCCACAACTCTATTATTCTAAGGCTTTCACAATAATTATCTGCAACAATAGCCCTGACATCTCTTCTCTCTTCCAGTCAATTGGCTGACTTTGCCAAGTTTTGATCCATCCACTGTTTTCATCTCCTCCAGCCACACTTATCCAAGCCACCAGGGTGTTCCCTCAGCCCTCTTAGACGCCTCTTCGTAAGCCCAGGCGCCTGTCCATAGCCATTCTCGTGCTATAGTCCACAGGAGGGTGAGAAGCAAAAATGTGATACTGTACACCCAATCCCACCTTCCTGGGCCTCCTACTGCTTTCAGGATAATAACTAAAATTCTTAGTTAATCTGATCTGGCCACGAACTACCTACCCACCCAGCCTAACCCTACCACACTTGCACTTCATTCTCAGCTTCCTGGTCACAACCAGCTCACTTGCTTTCTTCTAGTTTCCAGCTTGCCTGGCTTCTCCCAGGACTTGTGTGTATGTCATTCCCCTTCCCCAGGACATTCCTCTGCTCTCCACTCCAGTGAAACTCCTCTTAGGGCTTTGGACATCACTTCAATCATCTTTCCTCAGAGAAACATTCTCCTATCCCAGAGTTCATCAGCAGCCATGTCACACTTTCTGGGGTTCGCATCTCTCTCTCACAGCCCTCCCTAATTTATACTCATCAAATGTGTGGGTATTCATTAATCTTTGTCTTCCCCCAATTCCACAGAGCAAAGCCTGTCTGATGTGTTCATGGTGGTGTGTCCACACAGCTTGGATCTGATGTGGAGCAGGCACTCAGGGCCTAGGATGTTGCATTAGGATGAAGGAATGTGCCAACTGCTATCAAAACAAACCTATCTACCCTTGCTAAACTCAGGGCTTTTTTGGGGGGGGACGGGGGTGTGGGGGGGCAGGAAAACATCAGTTGCAAGTAGAATGAAGGAATCACATAAAATAAGAGATACTTCTTGAGGTGTTACTTGCTGAAAGAGTTTTGCTAGGTTGCTCCGGCTGGCCTTGAACTTCGGCTGGCCTTGAACTTCAGAGCCTTCCAAGTAGTGGGATTACAGGTGTTTTGCTGATTTACTTATGGTTTCACTACTGTATTTAGATCTTAAAAAAATTCCCATTTAAATGTCTCTCTAAAATCAATTGTATGACTCTGAAGGTCTGTGTTCATTACAGACATTTGTCAGAAGAAAGAGGTATTAAAATAGCTCAAAGTGTTCTTGGCCATGGAAACCACGTCCCAAAGTTCTTCCGAACTCTGAGTAGGTGAGTGTACTCTCATAATCTGACATATCTCTAGCACAAACGCATCAGGTTTATGTTCAGTTACAACTGCATTCTTACACAGAGGTACTGTGTTTAATAGACAGGATATTCATGCACCTCATTCTAGGATGAAAACATGATTTCACTACTATATTTCCTTTCAGGTACTTTCAGTTATAACTAGATCTGATCACAAATCCTGATTCAGTTGACTTCTCAAAAGCGATTCATCTTGCTCACAGTGAAGACACACCCACAGTACACTGAGGGCACAGGTGACCCTCTGATGTCCTCCAGTACCGCTCTGGCATGTTCTCAGCTTAGAATGAGGTGCATGAATAGTCTACTTATTAAACACAGCACCTCTGTGTAAGAATGCAGTTCTGCCCGATCGTAAATCTGATCTGAGCTAGAGATCTATCAGATTGTGAAAGAATGCTCACCTCCTCAAAGTTCAGATGAGCTTTGAGAGGTTGGTTTCCATGGCCAAGAATGCTCTGATACATAATAGAGGGCAAATGATCCTTTTTGAATGTGCCCGAGGGGCTGACCGCTATAGTCCAGTGAGAAAAGTACCTGACAGTCACCCAGAGACTTAGCTCGTCTTACTGGGTCAGAAGCGCTCAGCAGACATGCGCTCCCTCCACTCTGCCAGTTGGTCACCATAGTCACACCACCTCTCCCACTGGTCCAGACAGCGCTCTCATCACAGCATCCTGTGAGGCTGCCACCCAGTGACCAAAACTGATGTAACTTTTGCTGCAGCTCTAATGTGACAGCCTATCCCCAAATGGTGGTATATAAAGTCTTAACTGTCTATAAAGAATGAGAATTGAAGGGTGACAGGTTTTAGGGTCACAATTTGCTTTCCTAATAACCTACAGTTTTAATACACGTGCTCGGACATGTTAAAATGGGAAATAACCTGGGAAATGAAGTTATAGTGCAAAGAGCCTGATTTTCTTCTAGTACAGAAGTAGCCTCCTTCCGGCGTTTTCTCATGTTGTCCTCAACAGTGTTGAACTCAGACATCGTTCCTCCATAGGGCTGCCCAGGTGTTCCTTCAATCATGTAACTCCCATACTCTGGTCTCCAAAGGGTAGGATGGCTACGGAGGAGAAACAGTTTTAATTTCATCTTATCCTTTTGCTGAAGTCAAGTTAATTTTTATAAGTTTTTAAAGATGCTTTAAAAATTTGAAAGCTGTTAGGTACAAACAAAGCCAAGAACTCCTTTATAAGGCTATTAATTTTTCTATAGCTTTTCAAAAGGGGTTCAAAGTATTTATAAGTAACTGAAAACACATTCAGGGTACTCATTCACTACATAGGACAAAGCTAATCTATTCTGCAGGAATAAAACTGTGGCCTTAAGGGCTTTCAATTTTAAACTTGGGAGTCTAAACTTTTTTTTTTTTTTAACAGCTTCTCAAAAACTAGAGAGTATACACTTTCTCACCTTCTTTATGCTTTTAAATAAATGTCTTAAAAACACCATGCCACAAAATCCATTGGCAAGTTTTATCTGGCACTATGGTGTGTGATCCCAATTATGTCTCAGCAATGCATTTCTTAAAAAGCATTTAATAGTAGTGAATAGAATGTTTAGCTTAATGTATAAGTATTTTGAAATATTCATGAATTTAATCTCAACATTTCAGATGTAGGAATTATTTCTACAGATGAGGAAACTAAGGCACAGAGAGGTTAAATAACTCTCTGGTAAAAGGTCATTCAGCTATTGAGCAGAGGAACCAGTATTTGAAACCCAGGCAACGTAGAAATAGGGCCTGTGCTCTTAACTCCTGTGCCATCTGCCTTTTATAAATCTGAGAAGATGCTAAGTCTTAGTAGTTCTACAGCCCAGAAACACTAAGCCTTCAGCACATCAACTTACTTTGGGTTTGTTCTTTCCCCCTTCTCTTGTAAAGTTTCAAGAACATCTTCTCCAGACAGGACCAACTGGACTTTTTTATTTTCATGATCAAAAGACACCAACATGTATTCCACCTATTGAAAATAATAAAGGTGAGAAAGACATTTTTCCAGACTCAAGCTCAGATGATCTATAAAAATAAGGGCAGGGAAATATGAAGGTTGGAAAGGATTCACAACAACGTGAGATAGTCACATTTGCTTTACACACAGCGTATAATAAGTCTAATTTGCATAATATGAAAACCTGCAAAAGATGGTAAGTCAATAGAGGCTTTGTCTGAGGACAAAGACTCATTCTTTGAGCCCTGCTTTTCCCTATTCCTTTCTTCTATTCCCTATAACATCTCATAGAAAGTTCAAGATGTTCCCTTTTGACAAATTTTACTTTAAAACATATGTTTTTAAGCTAAGATGCTGTAAACTGAGGTTATAAAGAAGTTGAATTTTAAAATTTGAGGGAGATGTCACTTACCAGCAAATTCTTTAATAACCCTGATACAAATCCCACTTCTAGACCTTTACTCCAAGAGGACTCCACCAAATGGACTCCAAAAAATTGAACTCGAAAAAGTGGACTCCATCAATGTGGATATTTTAGGGATTCTAACAATTTGGTCTTGGCATATAACAAATAAGACAACTTTTCTACTCTGAAATGGTAAAAAAATTCCAATGTAGGACATGCTATTATATTTACAACAATGCCTGGTGGAATTCTGATAAAAACTGAGAGTTACATATCAGTGGAAAACTTCTGGACAGAGTACAACTATCACTTGTTTTTGTTTTCCCTGAAATAGTGTGCTTTAAACCATGATAGCCGACATGAACAGTGATGATTATGAATTCCTACCCGGGATGTAGATAAAACATCCATTATCTACAAGGAAGTAAAAAAGAATAGAGCTGGGATACTCAGGCAAACACTTGAAAGTACCCTTTGTACAAGGCACCAAGACAGTGACTATAGAGGAGAGATGGCAAAGTGGGACCCCACAGGCACACCAGCTCTAGATTCATAAGACAATAGGAAGTAGTATATACACTATTTTCCTGACACATCTCATGTAAACCCAGATTCCTGCCATAAAGACATGGACCTGGAGGACAGCACTCAGCTGCGGGCTGGGACTGGTTGCTCTCTTCTGGGGATGCACACTGCAGTGTGCAGTGCCTGTTCCCTTACTTATGTATACTTGCCAAGTCTTGAAGGCATCTTGAAGCCATCCCCATCAGAAGAATGGTAATGTTTAATGGTTAAGAGACTGTTCTGGCTTGCAGCTAAGAGGGAGAAATACTGGTGACCACAGGAAATAACGAGGCAGGTTTAAACAGCAGCCAAACCACAACAAAATAAAATTTACATTTACTCGTCATCTTATTGATGAGTTTAGGTTCCTGATAGAATTTTTTAATTCAAAAAACGAGTAAGAATGTTTGATTCCAGTATGTGAAGCAGAAAGGAGATCTGCGCCAGCACAAATGCTGTCAACTGCTGAAAACTGCAAGTTGAGGCCTCTGTAAGGGCTTCCTATAGCACATAGAGCCAACAGAGAGCATCTAGAGATGGACCACTCCTGGACAACTAAAACCTGACAGAAAAGGAAGCTTTGTTAAGGCTCAGGATGGGTACATGAAAAGATCCTATGTAAGGAAATGAGTTTGTCTTTAAATGAGCATAATGGGAAAGGGTGTGCCTTGAACTCAGAAATGGATACTAATCTTTAAAGGTATCATGCAAAAGTAGATTTGATTACAGATTAGAACCTGCCCCAGTCTGACTTCAAGATCCACTAGATCTTACTGCTAAGACTACAGAGGACGCCAATCTTGATAAATGACAACAGGCTTTCTATGAAATTATTGTAAGCAATGAGGCAGCAAAGAGTTATCGCACTGGCTAAAATCTCTCAAATGGATCATGCCCATTTTATCAACTGGGTCTAACATTATGTCAGAGAAGCAGACATGTAACTAATAGTTACACTCATAGATTTAAATGGATGCACCAGTCCATCTTGTTAGGTCAAGAATGGAGCCTGCTTGCCCATTCCCCCCAATCCTTATTTCAGTGATCTTTCAGTCTACCCCCAGTACTAGGGATAGAACCCAGGGTTCTTGCCTGCTTGTTCTTTCTATGGATCATTCCTAACTCTCCCAGTTGCAATGAACCTTCCTCCCATAGTATCTCCTTCTTCACCCACTGTCTGCAACACTTCTCCTGTCATCAACTGTTTACAGAAGTTATCTTCTTAGCCAGATAACATGCTTCCTGAAAGAAAGATAAAGAGATATCTACTCCTAACTTCTAGGTTTCTATCTCTGGAAATTATCCATTTCCAAAATGAGCAAAAACTTTCTCGTATTCATTACAAATAGGCTAACTTACAATAACTTTGATTAATTTCCTAGTTTAAAAAAAATAAAATTCTTAGCTTTCAAAATCATTCTTAGTCCAAGTTTAAAGCATGAGTAGGGCAAAAGCACGAGAGGACAAAAGCTCAAGCTCTAAGCCTTAGTTAGTATCAGCTGAGTGGATGACATTTAAAATGTTAACAAGCCAGACTCTCCTTAATTAAACAATAATCATCCCATGAACTTGGCAAGAAAGTGAAACAGAAAACATCAGTGTATTTACTAAAGGAGAAAGAAATAGACGTACTTTTTGATAAGGTCTAAGTTCTGATGGAAGCCTCAAGAATTTCCTGAACATTTTTCAGACACAAATTTAAGGCTTCTGATTCTCTGCATCTGTCCTCAAAATGGCTCTTTAATCTCTTACTTTTTGTTATTTTATCCCATTTGCCTCTCCAACACATTGTTTATTTCTAACTCAACATTATACAAGCACTTAAATAATTAACTGGATCTTCTTTTTTGGTACCAGGGATTGAATTTGGGGTGGGGAGGGGGGTACTTAACCACTGAGCCACATCCCCAGCCCTTTTAAAAATTTATTAAAATATTTTTTTTGAGATGGAAGGAGCTCACTAAATTGCTAAGGCTGGCGCTGAACTTGTGATCCTTCTGGTTCAGCTTCCCAAATTGCTGAGATTACAGTTGTGTGCTGCCATACCCGGCTAACTTCTTTTTAAAAAGATAAATGAGAACTGAAATGGAGTTTGGTTCAATAATATAGGTAATGAGTGATAACAAAAAGTGACACAGTCAGATAAGACAATGCTTTCCACATATAAAACACCTAAAGCAAAAAACAAAACAGAAACACCTAAAGCCACAATGATTTATTTTATATTCGGATTTTGGTCCTGTCCTAAAGTTCATTTTTGTATCCAACAGAGAGGAACAGACAAAATCAAAGAGAAAATAATGAAAAAGGATATAGAGACCCTTCTGTATACCACACATAATGGTATAGAAATGGATTAAAACAAAAAGTAGTTCTTCTTAGAGGTTTTGCTTTCTGTGGTTTCAGTTTCTCAAAGTCCCCAAATATTAATATTTTTGTCTTGACTCTTTTGAGACAGACAAGCCACATTCTGACTTTTATTTCAGAATATAATGTATTTTATTATTATTAGTTGTTGTCAATTTCTTATTGTGCCCAATTTATAAATTAAACTTTCTTATAGATATGTCTGTATAAAAAAAAAAAAAAAACAGCATAGGTAGGGTTTGGCACTATCCATGGTTTCAGGCCTCCATGTGGGGTCTTGGCATGTTTTCCCCAAAGATAAGGGGGTACTACTACATCAGCTTCCTAACTCTGAACAGATTCATAATTCCAGCAACATCTCTTATGTACATTGTACACATACATAATTTTGAAAGCAAATACCTAAAGAGCAATATAAATGGGGTAGACAGCACCTATCTCAACTTCACATAATTAAACCATTAAGTTCTAAGTTTTCAATTCTGTGAACATTTCAATGAAAATGCCAAAGGTGAATTAAAATAAGTTGGAAATCATAATCTAGAGCTTATGTATCCTTTATTACTACTAACAATGAAAATATTATATTGTCCCAGTGTCCTATTTTTTGAACAACCTTGTATTTTTACATTATAAGCCATTCTATAACATACTACATTGAGAACTAAAATTCCTTATATTTCTGTTTCTAAAAGGTGATTCCTAGAATAAAAGTCATTAACATTAATCTGAGCTGTTGAATCAAGGACAAAAACATGTATAAAACTACCATTTCTTTGCCTTATGTGCTACACAATGTTGTTAGGAACAGCCTCAACACAATAATCCTCAAGTCATTTAATGTAGGAGTTAACTTATGTTTATCTGAAATTAGGCCAATAAAAACAAAACATCTTAACTGAGGGTGATGTAAGTATGCAGAACAATAGTGAATACACAGAATAGACACACAGCAAAATATTTGTGGTATTAAAGTTTAAAATAATAGTTAAATAAATATTCAAATTTTTAGGATTTATAAAGTCTTTTAGTGACATTCACCACTAGGGCAAAGTAAGAATTTTCCTTTCTCCTTAGTTTTATACATTTTGATTATCTTCCCTGAAGGTAGGAACTTCTAGGACTTTAGAATTTTAGGTATGGCTAGACATTTTATATAAAATACTAATTTCTGCTTCATTTTTTTTTTTTTTTCCTGTTTGAAGTAGTAGGAACTACATTCAAGGCCTTGCACATGTTAGATTAGCACTCTACAACTGAGGTACATTCCCAACCCTTTCTTGAGCTGGGTCTCACTAAGTTGTCCAGGCTGGTCTCCATCTTTTAATTCTCTTGCTTTGGTCTCCCAGGTACCTGGTATTATAGGCATGCACCACCACAAATTTTTTATGGGTGCATCATAATTAAACATAATAGTGCATTGTTACATATCCATGCATGCACATAATATAATTTGGTTAATTTCACTCCCTAGTATTTTCCCTCCTCTCCTCCTTCCCTGATCCTCTTCCTCTATTCTATTGGTCTTCCTTCTATTTAATTTCTTAATTTCTACTCCCTAGAGATGAAAACATTGCTTAATTAGGAAATAATAAAATTTCATTAAGGTCAATTAAAGTCAGCTCCCCATTTAGGAAAATTATCTTTGAGAAAGTTCCTTTGTCAGTCTGCATAT